GTAACCTTTCAGAAACTTCTTATTACTCTATCGATTCTAATTGAATATTTCTTCGCACGAAATTGTGGAAATCCGAGAATTCTCATGCAAAACTGCCCCGAACAATAAAGCGTTTCATGCGATCTCTCATTGTCGGAATTTGAGTTGGACTTTAAAAAGCTGCGGCTTATTGACGTATTCCCAGAGTATAGGATGGCACTGCATTTGCAATGGCCGAACTATTGGAGGAGTTTCTTCCAAATGATCAACGCGAAGTGAAAACTTTAGGTCTTAATTCGGACAGTTTCGTGAGTACCATTCTTCTCATCTGCATTGAATATTCTTAGTATTCAGACGTTCATTGCTCTGTCAAAACGAGAATTATTCACTTCATTTGCTCACCAGATGATATCCATAGGGCGCAGTGCAGTTATCCTGTTTGATTAACAAGGAGTCCATTGCATAGACATGCCAGATGTTATGTCAGTGATTAATCTCAAAATGCCGTTTGTACGATCATTGAGTCCTAGAAGTTCAAATCAACATTTCTGAGACGAATGCTATCACATCTCTTGTTGAATTTTTTTGGAACATTGCTTCATTGCTCTTCCAAACAACGATGAATGTTGCTGATTTGAGGACATTATAGACTGCAATCTCTCGACGCAGCATTTGCAATCCATCCATATCCAACCATGATTGATACATCTATATCTTTTTCCCCAAACGCAAGCCTCTGATAAGCTGTCACTTTTTACAGCTTTCATTTATAACAAATGATCTCGTAGATCACTCCAAAGAGAGCACTTAAAATTCAGCTTGGTCAACAAAAACGCAAAAAACGTGTGATGTAAATTACAGCAGCTTAGAAATTTGTTGATAAGTTCGCATTTTTTCAAGAAATGCACTGAACGTATTCTAAGTATTTCAAAGAAATTTATAAATGTGAACAAAATATATCGCAGCCATCATACTTTTCAGCATTCCATTAGTTTAACAATTGTTAAGCTTCAATCGTTGATTCTGAAACATAGGTAATGAAACCAATCGGAACATTAATCAGTGGTTCTCATGTTCGAATGCTCCATTACTCCTTTTCATGATCTGGCAGGACACCGTTACCCATCCTCTCTCCCCCCCCCCCCCCCC